CTCTAACTAAAATGCATGATGTGATCTAGTCTTTTTAGCAAAAGTGAAAAAAAATATCAAAGAAAGCCATGTAAATAAAGCAATGAGACTATTTAATTCAGGATTACATAAAGAATTAAGCTCCATGCTTTAAAAAAGTCCTGAAACAGAAACCTTTCATTAAAGTATTAATTCTACTCACTTTAGAAGTCCATCTTTCCCCTAACCCGACCTGCCCTTAGGCTTCAGAGCAAAGTGGTCTGCACTCAGCAAAGCGAGGTTCAGTCAAAGGGAGGAGAGTTGTTTGGTTCAGGTGATGAAGTTAATGGGTGCCTTAGGCAGATCCAAACCACTGGTGCATGTAAGAGTGAAGACTTAACCACAGGTGATGGATTACTGGAATGTACCAGGGACCTGAAGACAGATAAATGCCTCAACACTTCTAGAGGCAGTAGGAGATATCCACTGCGTATACAGCTATACCTCTCACTTTTTTACAACTGAGCTCAGCTCTGTAGAAGGTAGAAGGAACACAGAATAACTCAAGTCATGTCCTCAAATTCTTCCAGCGTACTTAGGAGCGAAGCCCTGTCCTAGATTTTGAACTGGCATGTGCAGGGGTGATGAGGGAGGGTTGTCTAGGAAATTCTAGGACATCATTGGCAAACAATGAATCAACTCTCAGGTAAAAGTGTACATTATCTATCCTCTCATTGAGATGTAACTTCAAAAGTGTCAGCCTAGATTTCCTGGTATGTAATTGACATTATTCTTATTGCTTTCATAGTCAAAGTGAAATTTATACGGACCAACCAAACCTTGTTGGCCTCAATATCAACTACCCCTTTGTATTTTCCTATTCCCCAGCTCTGTGTCCCCTCTGAATTCCTCCAGTGTGGCACATAGCGCTCCTGCACAGGGCGCTCAGCAACTGTTACTTTCAGGGCTTTGTCTCATTCACTGTTACAATTCTAGGGTCCAGCAGAAGGCCTGGTTCTATGTATGGAAGAATCTGACCCATTATAGGAGACTACAGAGTTGCGTGAAGGGTGGAAAAAGTATGCAAAGTTTAAGGTGTAACTGCATGCACACATGCATACACTAATGCATTCATTCATTCAAGGACCATCACCTGTCGACACCCTGACTACACAGGGGATGTCGCTATGAAATAAGGCAGGCAACTTCCTTCCCTCATGACCATAGGAGACCATGCAAGAAGCTATTTGGCTTTCTGAGAGCGTGATGTGGAATACCTCAAAGGGGCACATTATTTTGGGGATTTAGATTGTCAGGGGAAATATTCCTGGAAAAGTGAGGTATCGCTAGGACCTGAGGGGTAAAGTGGGAGTTAGGGAAGTCAGGGGCAGGAGGGTAGGTAGGTTCCCACTGACACAGCACAAGATTATCTATGGCCTCTGGGAGATAAATCACTTTCTAGGTCTCAATTTCCCCACCGGTAAAGTGAGGATAGTAATATTTGCATCACTGAGTTGTGAAGGCTTAAAAAAATTATGTACATTAAATGTCTAGTAGAGTCTTTGACACTCTGATGTTCAATCTCTCTGATGAATGAATGGATGACTCTTGGGGATAGAGAAAGCCTCAATGATTTGAGGTATAATTTGTTACAGATTAAAGAAGGCTACAACTCTATTTCTTTTTTTTTTTTTTTTTTTTTTTGGAGGAGAGTCCAATGTGATATATTGGGTCATCAGAAAAGTCAAACACATTTTTACATAGAAAAACACGTCATGACTTTTCTGACGACTCAGTACTATTTATTTGCCCTTTATAATCCGAAAGAAACTGAGCTGTTCACATTCTTTGTGTTTAGCCGTTGACAAATACCAACTAAAGAAAGCAGCTTATTGCAGTTAGCAAATTTAGATTAAAAGAGAAAGAATTTTCGAAGCTTCAACCTTGGAATACAGGAACGCACCAAAGGAATCCATGCTCAGAAGTCCTGAGGAAGGGCCAGCTCAGGTCACATAAGCTGCTGTCTCCTTTTATCACCAAATGGCAGATATAATAAGAGGACAGCTTTTAGGTTAGATTCCTACATGATGCTGTAGAAAAGTGTGCAGGTCAGTTGTACTTCACCCTGGGATGATGCTCCACTCCCTGCCTAAATCATGATGAAGTTGTGAAACTGAGAGGTGGAACACTTCCAAGGTAGCAGAGTGTGGAGGACAAAGTGAGGTGTATTGAAATAGCACAATAAAGAACTTGTGTATTTGCAGTGAGATGGTTTACGGACTTGATCATAAAGTTATGATTTTGAAGCCAAATATCACAGTGAAGCCTGCAATCGTTCTTTCCTCTTTGTCTTGTCCATTTGAAGCCAGCACTGTGAGGCAGAAATGGACTGAGGTAATTCATCACAGGACTTCTCAGAAAGCCAGGGACTTACTACCACATGTTATTAGAATATCTGTGACTCAACCTCTGTTGCAGTCTATGATGTTTCCACATATGCCTTTCCCACCTGAAGTCAGATCTCGAATGCAAATGTGACAGTCTCACAGCATTATTTGAAAATATTGGGAGGCCAGCGGGTAACATGGTGGTTAAGGCACTGACTCGCACATGGCTGATCACGGTTTGAGTCTTGGACCTGGAGGCTTGAAAATCATGTCAGGCATGTGTGTGCAGGCCCAAAATCCCAGGAGTAGAGTGGAGAAAGGATTTTGGTGTGGCCGTCCCTCATGGGGGGGCGGGGTGTGTTGAATTCTCACTTTCCCTCTCGCTGTCTCTCTCTCTTTCTCTTTGGGCTTACCCTATGCCAAAAATCTAAAAAAGAAAGAAAAAGAAAAAGCGGAAAAAAGAAAGAAAATATTAAACCTTTGGGCATAAAAGGTAAGTGCTGAAATCTATGGCTTTTCTCTTGAGGATCAGGGCCAAAACAGGAGGCTTTGTGCCATATAAGTCAGTGTTGAGTGTGTGTTGGTGTATATATGAGTGTATTTAGATAAATTTCTAAATAAGGGTCATATAAAGGTTGCATATGTTATCAGGAATCCTTTTGAGTTTTCATTAGATATGTTTCTGGAGATCACTTAGTCTTTGGCTCAGCTTTCTGCAAAATGGGGATGAACTTCACTTTCCTGTCTCACCACCGAGTTATAACAATGTTTGTTACTATAATCAAATGCCACTTGATTATAGTGGATACCCCTTAGGAAAAATTAAAGAATGAAAGCTGATTAATATCTCAAGGCAGCATTGCTAAAATACCAAACTTTATCATCAGCATAAGTAAATATACTCAATGTTCAATCAATACACAAAATGTAAACTCATATCTTGAAATCCACAGTTCACTTTTTAAAACACAGCCACACTTTAAAAAAATTTCTAACAAATGTTGAGTCTTTATCATGAATAGTTGTCTTTACATAGAGTTTCTTCCTTATCCAATGACCAATAGATTTCCAAGAGAGATTACAACTTACTTTATCATTATACTCTTTGGTTTCTAACCACCTGAAATTTACCACTGCTGCCTGCTGATGGAAAGGCTTGCTAATAACCTGATATTTGGGCATTTCCACTTGGGCAATTGAAAGAATTGTTAATAACCTGATATTTGGGCATTTCTGATCAAAAGAATTATTAATAACCTGATATTGGACATTTCTTTCTCCTCTAAATTTACAAGCTTGTTTTGATATTTGAAACTCCTCAGCACTATCAAATCATTTATTCAGTCTAAAGTTGGGTATTCCAATGGTATACCTTTGTGTACCTATAATAGTACACAGAAGTATGCCTTTTGTTGAGTGCTCACAATTATTTTAAAAATTATTTAAAGTTTTTTATGGCTTTCTTATTTTAAAGGCAATAAAGGTACAGAGCAGAGGAGAAGATGAAATCTGAGAGCCACAACAGGTTCTGAGTACCAGGGTGAGAGCATCCCCTCAGCTTTCTGCAAACAGTACCTGGTCTGACCAGCAGAAGTCAGTTCTTTGCCCACCACAGGCAGCCTGCCTTAGAGACTATGGTTAAGAGCTCTGACCAGAAGAGTTCATTCTGGTGCAAAAGAATGTTGAAATCCATGCATAGTTTTTCCTAAGATGCATTTTTTCATGAACTTTTTGAAGATTTCACATATGACCCAGAGAACAATTTTACCTGAACTGTTGGCTTGTTCCATTCATGTCGCCCTCCTAGCCTGTGTGTGCATGTGTGTGTGTGTGCGTCTGTGTCTGTGTGTGTGGCACATGCATACTGCTCTTCATGAGGACCACTACTGGATTATCTCTAAAGAGCAGACGAGAGAGAGCTTTGCTCATTTCCAGCAGCAGTAGGAGCAGCAGCAATGGGCCCTATAGGTAGATCTGAAGTTAACTCTGGCAAAACTGTAAGGGCTGAAAGCCCCCCCCCAGTCCATTCCAAGTTAACAATGTCCTCTCTCTGCTTTCTTTGAGGGAAGATGTCTCTTCCTCCTGCTCTCTCTTCAGGTACAGGGGAGGTGGATGTAGCCATCTAATGAGGAATTTCCAGGGAGTGCAAGATGCCCCAAAGAGACAGTTTGTTGAATTGACTCCTTCAGGATCTCAGGGAATTACAGAAGCCAACATTCATCTTCCCAATGACTGAGGGCTCCTTGCAGTGGAAATCTGCCACAGGTGGGTCCTTGGTTTGCTCTTACTGCCCTCCTTCCTCCTGCTACCACAAAGAAGGCTCCCCTAGGCAGCACAGGGGCTGAGCACCAGCCAGTTGGCCCTTTAAGGTAGATCCCTGGAGAGTGCAGATTCCAAATATACAGGTGGACCAAAGGCTGGGGCCAGCAGGACACTGACACGTCTGAACAGTCCCTTGTGTGAGTGGTGCATGGCAGATGGACCACCCCCAAGAGAGGTGCCGCTCAGCTCAGCTCCATGTGGTCCAGGCGGCCCAGGGCCCCGTGCTCCCTCACTGATGTCTGCAGCACCAACACACAGGCTGTCACAGGACAGAACCCAGGTCTGAGCTCAGTACCCCAGTGCAAGTCACTTGGGGCAATCTCCAGCTTCTCTTTAAACTTCAGTCCCTTCCCAGCTGTAGACGAGGTGACTAACACGGAAGCCAGTGGCCATAGTTTGGTGGCCAGGAGTACAACCCGGTGCAGGGGCAGGCGCTTGTTTCCCATGGGCTGGGACCATTGGCCGCCCCAAAGAAAATTCGCTTGGTAGGCCCCCAGAGAAAGTGCCAAGGCCACTGGCTAGGGCACCCATGGCAGATGTGAAGCTAGAGAAGCAGGCTGCAGCCTCCAGTGCCGGTGGGGAAGATGAAGCCTGCAAGTCCGGAGAGGCAGTGCCAGCCAGCTCTGAAGCAGGCACCTGAGCTCTTTCCAGGCTACTGCCTCCGGGGGGCGTGGTTGTGCTGGCTTCTCCTCTCCTCTTTCTCTTCCTTCGGAAGTTCCCATTGTCAAACATCTTCTCACAGTTTGGGTCTAAGGTCCAGTAATTGCCTTTACCTGCAGAGGATGAAAACAACCAGATCAGAAAGTCTGGGATTGGATGGATGGACCATGTTGTCAAGGTGGAGGTCAGCTTCACAACGATTCCCCCGACTCACGCCCATCACAAACCTTGAGGAATGAACACCCACAGCCACACTGGGAAGAATTTGGACATTCCAAAAGGAAAGAGGACAGGACCCAAGGAAACACCAGCGCCACTAAGTTCAAGGCCAGAGAGAGGGCCGGCAGGATACAGAATCGTCTAGACTCTGCCAGTTGCTCTGCTAGTACAGAGAGCAACACACACCGGCCTTTGTGGAGGCTGCAGGCTTTCCAAAGGGGGCACTTCATGTGTTTTGCAGTCCTTGGGCAAGCGTTGTCGTCCCCACTTATCAGGGAAGGGCACTGAGGCCCAGAGAAGTTAACTCCCGGGATGACTGGCCGCCTAGCTCTCTTGCTTCTCCCGGGGAAGCTTACAGGGATTTGGAGTCGGTAAGAGAGCTACACGGGGAGTCAGGACTGCGAGTTTTGCTGCTATCTAGAAGGCTATCTATAGCCAAGGAAGTCCCTCCTTCTCCTACTCCCTACTAAGTATCTCCCTGTGCAGTGTGGGATTGGGTTGCCCAAGGTCACTCTCATCCCTAGAGCGCCGGGAGCCCGGGGGCGACAAGAAGTCACGGCGTCCTGGACAAAGTGATCCAGAGAGCGCGCTGATGTTACCTGGGTCGTCCTCGTCGCGGGGCACCTTTTTGAAGCAGTCGTTGAGCGACAGGTTGTGACGGATGGAGTTCTGCCAGCCAGCCTTGCTGCGCTTGTAGAAAGGGAAATTGCTCGCCACGTACTGATAGATCTGGCTGAGCGTCAGTTTTCGCAGCGGCGCACTCTGGATGGCCATGGCAATGAGCGCGGAGTACGAATAGGGCGGCCGCACCAGCCTCAGCAGCTCCTGCTGGCCTGAGAGACTCAGCCACGTGACGGCCGGAACCGGCAAGCCAGGCGGGGCGCGC